AGGCTAATGAACTCCCAGCAAACAAGGTGACATGATGAACAACGCAGCTAGGAGCTAACGTTAGGCTAACTTTAGCTAACGTTAGCTAGAGATGTTAAAGATAACTTTATATTTCTTTCCAGCAAAGTGACAATATGTTGCCTCAAACACAATGTTGACTTACCTTAGAACAGATGTAGACATCATTGTTAATCTTATTCACGTTGAGTTGATGTTGTGGTCTAACGTTACCACACAACTTTATCCAAAGGAGACACTTTTCTCGGTTGAGATGTGGTTTAAAGTGTAAAAAATACACCTTGTCGCCCAGCCTCTCAGGATACCTTGTGTCGGAGTTGCATGTACCCCATGCACACCATTTGACCATTTTTAAACTTCAAATCTCAGAAAAAGCTCATAAAACCGACCGAAACTGACTTTCTGTAATGCATTTCAATGGACGTTCAGGCAGAGAATGTCTGAGTGTATGGGAATGGCTATACGCACTGTGATTGGCTCATCGCGTTTGAGGGCAGGACTTCGCCATAGGTCAGTTGTTACATAGGAGTAGGGCTGCACGATTAATCGTAATAAAATCGTGATCTCGATTCATTTGCATATGCGATCTAATTTTTCAGTGACGGCGATTCTGCCAGCCCCGCCCGTGCCGGGAGTCGGGACATCATCTGCTTGAAAACAAGCGCTCCCAACGACGCAGTGTTATACCACGTGATGCAGAGAACCAGCCGGCCGGCAGATTGGAAAGCAGCGAGACAGGGGGGAAACACACTGCACACTGTAGCCTCAGTTTGTGCCTCATACAGACCTGCTGGTAAAGTTAACTTAGCATTAGCAAGCGTGATAAAAGACGGCAGAGAGGCGACGTTGTGCAAATAACCCAAAGATTTATTAATTCTCTGTAGCAGTAAACACATGGGCCGATAACAAATGTGTTAACTAACTATGCTAAAACTTTACAAGCTATTCAGGGCTGCCGACGATAACATTAACATGACAAACAGCAAGGCTAGGGCAAGTTAACGTACCGACACTCCTCAGACACACACACACACACACACACACACACCGGACAGCCTCTCAGTCCTTAGCTGCTAACGTTAGCTCATGTACAACACAGGTACCACACAGAAACTTTTACAAAGGGTCATAATGTGCTTCTAGTGACTGTCAAATCGCCAGCGAAAGATGTTTACACTGCAGAAGAGGGTTCACTTTGCTGCAGGGTTCACCAAAACATTTTTTTTGTTTTTTTTTTTCTTTTAATAAATTGAACACACATTAAAGAACATATAAGATCCTGTAGAGAATTAATACATATAATACAATACGATAAACATTGTCAAATTAAATGAAGAAAGAGGATTTTTTAAAGGCAAATAAAATATTGGGGATTTATGTAAAAATATACAGAGACATATACAGTCAGGTACATAATTATTTGGACAATGATACAGTTGTCATCATTTTGGCTCTGTACACCACCACAGTGGGTTTTAAATGAAACAATGAATACCTGCTTAAAGTGCAGACTCTCAGCTTTCATTTAAGACTTTTTTCAAAAATGTAGTATGAACCGTGTAGGAATTACAACCATTTCTTCACACAGTCCTCCAACTTTAAGGGCTCATAAGTATTTGGACAAACTAACATAATCATCAATTAAATAGTCAGTTTTAATACTTGGTTGCAAATCCTTTACAGTCAATGACTGCCTGAAGTGTTGGACACATAG